TTATACTGAAAATGTACCAATAAACTTAATGGGGGGAAAAAAAAAGAAAAAAAAAGAAAAAGATATTTTGTAACCTAGTCTTTGTTTATATGGCATTGAAAAATCCATCAACCCACACACAATATTCTGAATAAAATTAATCTTACCATAGAATTTCTTGTACACAGGGTTTTCCACAGTGCATTAATTAGCAAACAATTTCAAAGTATTCCCTTTAAACTTTTTTCCCTTTCTGTAACATTTTAAATTCAGGTCTTCCCTCCCCCAGATCTCTTTACTTCACTGTCTTAATGTAACCTCCTGCACTGCTTTGCTTTTTCGTTTACTTCTCTTTAGATCTGGCTCCCAGAAATCACCTTGCTTGTGTCAGAAATAGTGCCCCTGGGGTATAGATTGGTTTGCTATCTTTTTTCTCCTTGGGGACCAACTGGGTAGAACAATGGAGAAAAACTTCTTGATCTTATCCTGCTAGTCTTTCATTCTTTGACTGGGGTGAGAAGACCACTTAATTCTGAGACCCGAGACAACAAACAACTCAGGCAAGAGAGAGAAATGAGTGGGAGGCAAAGGGAAAAAGAATTAGTGACGAATAGAAGTGAGAAGCGAGGGTGGGAGTAATCGGAGGTGATTTCACATGCTTCATCATCTGGCACACATGGCTGAACCTCTAAGTATCACTAGATGATACAGGTGATTACCTGAGGTGAGAACAAGGCCTGTGAGAGTTCAAAGTAAAGAACTGTTTCATCCAATCACAGGAATCTTCTTGGAAAAGTAGCCTTTGAATTGGATTTTGAATGATACATAGAACATGAACACCTAACATCCGTGATGGGCTGGAGTCACTCTGGGAATGAGTGAAGACATACTGCAGAAGCACCCTTAGGTAGTACGTTCATAACACCGGGGAGAGATAAGACCGCATTTTTTTTTTAGGTTTCCAGAAAACTTCTTGGGACATTGAATTCAATTGAGGGGGAGCAGCAGAGCCTTCTGAGGGTCCTCTCCAGGGTTGGAGATACGTATGGTGAAGGTTGTACGATCTAGTTATCTTTGTAGCCGTGGATGTCTGAAGGCCTGGCTCCAAGAAGGCTGGAGGATCTCAGGGACAGAGCATGGTGAGCCCCTTTCTTTCTGGGGCCTTAGGTCTGAGGCTGACAAGTGTTTTGCACTCGTTTTCCTAGGGAAAGTTTTCCCACCCTCCTTGTCTCCAAATCTTCACTTTGAATCACACTAACTTTTCCTCCTGCATCTTGTTCACACCCTTGGTGAACTGGTTTTGAGACACTTGTCTCAGACCTCCGGGTTTCTCTGTGAACACTGCACTCATAGCCTTGGAGTAGTGAATGAGATGGCCAGGTGTGATCATGCTGACAGTTGTGAGTCACCTGCTACCGGAAACTGAATTTGGCTTTTGATTCTAAAGATTTATGCAAGTAGATGATGACAGACTACTTTCTACTCCAAAGCAAGTCTCTTCTTGGCATGCAGGAAATAGTAAATAGGTCACAAGAGAGGCAGGACTAAGATCAGCAATAATCAAGCTGCAAGTGTAGACACAAAGGCGGAAGCTGGTGGCATCCATGTAGGAACTCCACGCCAAATGGCACACATGCCAGGGAAAATGTTGTAGGATGGTGTCATGCACAACGGGGGTG